TAATTTCATAGTAAACAATGCACAGAATTTTTTTTTTAATTTTTTTTTTAACGTTTATTTACTTTTGAGACAGAGAGAGACAGAGCATGAATGGGGGAGGGGCAGAGAGAGAGGGAGACACAGAACTGGAAGCAGGCAACAGGCTCTGAGCCATCAGCCCAGAGCCCGACGCGGGGCTCGAACTCACGGTCCGTGAGATTGTGACCTGAGCTGAAGTCGGACGCTCAACCGACTGAGCCACCCAGGGGCCCCACACAGAATTTTTTTTATACCCAGATATATGACAAAGCACATGTTTTAGCAAACCACTATGAAAGGGTCAGTAAAAAAAAAAAAAAAAAAATCAATCCAACTGGCAAAAACTACAGATATGAGAGTAATGAGATATAGAATATAAATTAAGTATCTTTAATACTTAAAAAACAAAATAGGGCACTTGAATTATGACTAAAGAACAAGAGATTAGAAAACAAGAAATAGGAAGATACAGAAAAGGATAAAACAGAAACTCTAGACATTTTTTTTTAAGTATAGTATTAGAAATTAGAACCTCTAGATGGATACTAGCAGATTACACACAGCTGAAGAGAAAATTAATAAATTAGTACATATATCTTTTAAAAACCTAGTATACAGCATGGAGAGATAAAGTGGTTAAAAATATTAGAAAGAAGTTAAGAAATAGGACAAACAGAACAAAAAAATAGATCTTATCAGAGTTCTAGAAGGAGATAAAGAAAGAATAGGGAAGAGGTAACATCTCTAGAGGGAAGGGACTAAGAGTTTTCCAGAATTGATGACAGATATGAATGATTAGATTCAAGAAGTTCAGTAAATCCCCAAGGAGATTACCAAAAATAATCCATACTTAGAAAGTCAAATCGAAACTACCAAAACCAAAGAGAATCTTAAAATCAGTCAAACACAAAGCACGGACTAATCTATAAAGAAATGACAAATCTAGTTCTTGATTTCTCTACAACACTGGAAGTCAGATGGAAGTGGAATTATATCTTCAAAGTCATGAGTGGAAACAATTGTCAACTTGTAACCGTATACCCCCCAAAAAATTATCTACCAAAGGCAAGCACAGAAGAAATATATTATTATCTGGCAAACAAAAACTAAGAGAGGTAACTACCAACAGTCCCTCACTAGAGAAACTTTGCAAGGATAGACCTTAGGAAGAAGAAAAATAATAAACTCACAAGGAAGGTTTGAGAGGCAAAATGGAATAGTGAGCCAAAACAGAAAAACGACAGTATGTAGTAATTAATGGCAAGTGCAGGCTAACATCTGGGGAGATAAAACTCTAATTCATGGGACTAAAAAAATCAAACGACATAGAAATAAAGTAATAATATAGGACAGAAGAGGAGTTATATTAATGTTAAAACATCTTAAGGTCCTTATATTATTCATAAGGAGAATAAAGACAATGATCGATTTTATTTATTAAGTTAAATATGCATTAAAATTTCTAGAGTAACTATTAAACAACACAAATAATGTGCAAATTCTAATTTATTAAGTGGAAAAATTGAAATGTGGAAAAAAACTTAAAAAAATGCAAGAAAGAAGAAAAACGAAATGTTCAAAACATTTGAATAAGGGTTTGAACCAAGCATGTCTGCTTACGTGTGGATTTTTTTGATAAATAGAGTCCAGTATTGTAAATGTATTTTCTCTTCCTCATGATTTTACTAATAACATTTTCTTTTCTCTAGCTTACTTTATTATAAGAATACAGAACATGATACATATAGTATATAAAATATGTATTAATCAACTGTTTATGAGTAAGGCTTCTGGTCAACAGTAGGTAAGTTTTGGGGGATCAAAATTTGTATGTGGATTTTTGACTGCGTGGGGGTTGGTACCCCTAACACTGTATATACAAGAAGGAAATCGGATAAAATATGTTAGACAAAAAGATGCTAGAATGAGTCTTAAGTTTAAGAATAAATCTAGGGGCGCCTGGGTGGCTCAGTTGGTTGAGCGTCTGATTTGTGTTTTTCAGGTGGTGATCTCACGCGGTTTGTGAGCCCCTGTGAGACTCTGTGCTGACAGCTTGGAACCTGGAGCTTGCTTTGCATTCTGTGTCTCCTCCTCTCTCTGCCCCTCCCCTGCTCATGCTCTGTCTCTCTGTCTCTCAGTAATAAATATGTTAAAAAAAAAAAAAAAAGAATAAATCTAGCATGGGGCACCTGGCTGGTTCAATCAATGGAGCATGTGGCTCTTGATCTCAGGTTTGTAGGTTTGAGCTCCATGTTAGGTGTAGAGATTACTTAAAAATAAAATCTTGGGGCGCCTGGGTATCTCAGTTGGTTAAGCGTCTGACTTCGGCTCAGGTCATGATCTCTTACTTCATGGTTTTGCGCCCTGCATCAGGCTCTGTGCTGACAGCTTGGAGCCTGGAGCCTGCTTCAGATTCTGTGTCTCCCTCTCTCTCTGCCCCTCCCGTGCTTGTGCTCTCTCTCTCTCAAAAATAAACATTTAAAAAAGAAAGAAAGAAAATCTTAAAAGAAATAAATCAGGCAAAAAATGTAACAAGATTTAATTAAAATATTCAATTTTACTGAAAGACATTAAAGAAGGGTTAAATGAAGAGATATACAATACTCATTGGCAGGAACGCTCAACTTTATAAAGTTATTTACTTTCCTCCAATAAACACCCCAGTAGGTATGTATATATGTATAACTTCATAAGTCTATTCTAAAATATGTAAGGAACAGCAAAGAGCTAAAAAAAAGTCTCAGATACTCTTGATAACAAGAGCAAAAAATAAGAGACATCAATGAGATCTCAAGAAATATTTATAAATTAGAGTAATTAAGAGAGTATTATATGGGTGCAGGAACAGACAAGCAGATAAATGTAACAGGTTACGAGTCCATAAACAGACCATGTAAATATTTACATCCGATATGACAGAAGTGACATTGCAAATCAATAGGGAAACCAGAGACCATTTAGTAGGGACAGAAAAATTCGGTTTCCATGTTGAAAAATGAAATAGATCCCAAATCATAAAACAGAAAAATAAATCCCAGTTTAAGCTTATTTACTTATTTTGAGAGAGATAGAGACAGCTCAAGTGGGGGAGGAGGAGGGGGGAGAGAGAGAGAGAGAGAGAGAGAGAGAGAGAGAGAGAGAGAGAGAGACTGAATTCCAAGCAGGCAGCACAGAGCCCCACATGGGGCTTGAACTCACAAAACTGTGAGATCATTACCTGAGCTGAAACCAGTAGCAGGAACTCAACTGACTGAGCTACCCAGGTGCCCCATTTTTTTAAGTAGGTTTCATGTCCAGCACAGAGCCCAACGAGGGGCTTGAATTCACAACCCTGAGAGTAAGACCTGAGCTGAGATCAAGAGTCAGATACTTAGTCAACTGAGCCACCCAGCTGCCCTGAAAAATCAGTTCTAGATGATTAAAGAACTTAAATGTAAAAGCTAAAACTTTGAAATAGGATTAAAAGGTAACGTATTTACTATCTCTGAGGGAGATTTCTTTTTTTTTTTTAACATATTTTTTTAAAGTTTTTAAAAAATTTATTTTGAGAGAGAGTTGTGAACTGGACAGGGGCAGAGAGAGGGACAGAGGGAGACTCCCAAGCAGGCTCGGAGTGTCAGCACAGAGCCTGATGGGGGGCTTGAGCTCACGGAGAGTCGGAAGCTTAACTAACTGAGACACCCAGATGCCCCTGAGGGAGACTTCTTAATCAAGATCTCAAAGCAGAAATCATTTAGTAAAAGCTTGGTAAATTTAAGCATGCTAAAATCAAGAGTCTTTATCAAATACCTGAATAAAGACAAACCACAAACTGGGAGAAGATATTTACAATGTAAATAATCAACAAATGATTGCTATCCAGGATGTATATAGAACTAAAAATAAATTATAACAAGTCAAGCAACTCAACGGATAAAATGAGCAAAAGCTACAAATGTCTGTAGACAAAAACACAATGAACCAATAAATATGTGAAAATATGCTCAGCTTCATTAGTAATCAGGAAATACAAATTAGTCATCATAATGGGGGAGCTTTACACTCATCAGAGTGGCCAAGCCCCCACTCCCTCCCCCCAAAAAACCAAACAAAACCCAGCAATTCTGAAACACCCCAATGCCACATGTCATGAAGTGAGCCAATGAGGATTCACCCACTGGTTGTAGGATGGTAAACAACTAGAACTACTCAGTACAGCAACTTAGTATTGTCAATAAGGTTGAAGATTAGTTCCTACTTATTTCCTGCTTCCTAGCAGTTGTTTCTAAGATTACCCTGGAGAACCTCTTGTAGCAGGTGCACAGAAAGAAATGCATGAGAATATTTACAGCCGTTCCCACTGTTATTGAGGGGGAGGGGGTGGGGGTGAGGAAGAAACAACACAAATGTTCATCTCCAGGAACATGGATAAATAAATTGTAGTATATTCACTTAATGAAGTACTATATTTCCGCCAACTACATTCTTGAACATAGATGAATCTCACGAACATAACGTTGTGTGAAAAAGTAAGTTACCGAAGAATACCTGCCATATGATTCCATTTCTGTAAAGATTCAAAAGCCTGCGAGACTAAAGCAATTGGTCAAATAAGCCTTAACTGTTACTGTATAATTTGTACTTTGTAATATCTTCTCGGTGCACGGTTCGTTAAGCTTCAGGCTAACAGAAAATTAAGCATTAACTATGGTGCCAGGAAAAAAATACCTGCGAAATCAAAACCTTTAAAATCCACCTAAAATTTTTTAGTAAATCTCCGTGTAGGAAATTAGAAAGATCATCTCAAGCTATCTTTAAAATGCCATCGGTGAACCAGACTCTATCCTGAATTCCGGTCCTTCCGCAGGCCATCCGAGCATGAAATGCTGTTCCCTACCCGCGTTAACCTGCCATAACACCTGTCCGAGCGCTAGTCACCCGCTGCATGCCTAGCCCACCAAAGCGTTCTGTCTGGACTGTGTCACTGGAGAAGACAGAGCGACATGTCCAGGGCGCAGATCTCAGCTCTGGTGTTTGGCGTCGGAGGGTTTGGAGCTCTTGTCGCGGCCACCGCGTCCAATGAATGGAAAGTGACCACCCGAGCATCATCGGTGATAACCGCCACTTGGGTTTACCAGGGTCTGTGGATGAACTGCGCAGGTAACGCGTTGGGTTCTTTCCATTGCCGACCACACTTTACTATCTTCAAAGTAGAAGGTAAATATAATGGCTTTGCTCGGGGTGGAAGTAAAATGTCGCTTTTCCCCTCACTGTGCCGAAGCAGCTGCATACAGTTGGCTGTTAACTCTGTAAAGCCTGTTTGTGAAAGTGTCAAGGATTACCTAGGATGGGGCGCCCAGCTGGCTCAGTGGGTGGAGCATGTGATTCTTGACCTTGGGGTTGTGGGGTCCAGCCCCATGTTGGCTGCTGCGATTACTTAAAAATAAAACCCTAAAAAAAAATTGCCTAGGACGGATGAGGTATATGAACGTGGGCTGAAAGAATTAAATCATGTATTTTATATGACAAAGGGAGGTTAATAATCTCATGAATCTTTTACAAATACCCAGTGCAAATGATAGACTCCAAGGGACAGGGCAGAAATGACTATTTTATTTATTTTAATTTTTATTTTGTTTTGAGAGAGACAGAGACAGCACAGGTCGGGGGAGGGGCAGGGAGACAGGGAGACAGAGAATCTCAAGCAGGCTCCACCCTGCCAGCGCAGAGCCTGACTTGGGGCTCGAACTCTCGAAATCGTGAGCCCATGACCTCGGCCGAAACAAGAGTCGGACACTTAACCCAATGAGCCATCCAGGTGCCCCCAAAAGTGATTTAAAAGCTAGTTTCAATTTGCCTCACATCATGGAGGAATCTTTTCCAGACAGGTGTGTATACATACATTATACATCTATAGACACACATATATACATGCACACATGCTGTCAGTAATTCATAGGTTATTCCCAATTCCTATACTTCCCCAGGCCATCTGAGTACGAAGTACACGCACACACATATATATGTATACTCCTGTACATATTCAAGGGGGTAAAAGCGTAGGACAAGGAGGACAGTGCTGAGTGAAAAAAGAATTTTGTTTACAGAGGGGTTTCTATTTTTTTTAAATCATATTTAATGATAAAATAGCAGAGCAAGAAGAATTTAAAAAGTAGTTACGTGAAAGAAAATGCCCATTAACTGCCTTTTTGTTGCTTGGTTTTACTTTTTTTAAACATGCAAGCAAGCTTTCATCGTTATGCATGTTAGAAACTCTATTACAAGTATCTGTATCTTAGGGACACTTTTTTCTTGGAAGGCATTTCCATACCTCGGGATACCTCCGGGGAGATAACTACCTGCTCTTATGTCATTACAAGAATCACTATCTGCCTCGTGATTTGATGCCTTTACAAATCTGCCATAAGTTGTGGGTTTATTATGTTAAAAAATTGCCCCTGGTATTTAAAAATTTTTTTTAATGTTTTTATTTACTTTTTTGAGACACAGAGAGACATAGCATGAGCAGGGGAGGGGCAGAGAGAGAGGGAGACACAGAATCTGAAGCAGGCTCCAGGCTCTGAGCTATTAGCACAGAGCCTGACGCGGGGCTCGAATTCATGGAGTGTGAGATCATGACCTGAGCCGAAGTCAGACGCTCAACGAACTGAGCCACCCAGGCACCCCACCCCTGGTATTTTTTAAAATGTAGTCTTTCCACAACTAAATGGCAAAACTGTACCTTGGCCTCAGTAAAGAAAATAAAATTTTAACTAGGAAGTTACTAAAGCATAATATTTTATGGGATTTTGTGTCAAGTACCCCCGTCATTAGTGCACAGTGTGTGCCAAAGGATAAAGACAGAATACTTAGTTAAATCCAGGAGACTTCTAATGACAAGGGAAATATTCAAGCTCGGATAGCCCACGTAGGCCCTCAAATAATGAACTTTCTCAAGCACCCATTTGAAGAATCAATGGTATATTTCTTTTCAGTCCCAACTTACAAACTTACTTTGAGATACTTCAGAATCGTTCCCTCTCCTATGGAAGGCTTTGTTAGGAACAAGGGGGAAACTGTAAAAGAGAGGAAGAGTGTGGTGGAGACCATTAGCGTCATTCTGCACATCTCTGTGGTTCTTCCTTCTCTATGGCCCCCTTTGGCCCACTGCCATCTTGGGCAGCAAGCAGATGAGATATTGCGTGGGTAAGTGTATTTCTTTGTTCTTTCTTGGGTTCTTTTTTAAAATTTATTATTTTTGTATTTTATTTATTTTGGGGGGGTTCATTGTTTTTGAAGGAAAAAAACTTTCTTAGAGAGAGAGAGAGAGAGAGAGAGAGAGAGAGCAAGTGGTGGAGAGGGGCAGAAGAAGAGAGAGAAAGAATTTCAAAGTAGGCTCCATGCCCAGTGCAGATGAGATCATGACCTGAGCCAAAATCAAGAGTCAGGTACTTAACTGACTGAGCCTCCCAGACACCTCAGGATTTTTTTTTAAAGATTTAATTTTTATGTAATCTCTACACCCAACATGGGGCTCGAACCCACAACCCTGAGATCAAGAGTCATATGCTCTATTGATTGAGCCAGCCAGGCACCCCTAGTGGGTTCATCTTTTTAAAAAAATATTTTGTCTTATTATCCCTCATTCTATATTCCTTAACAAAATCCAGTTATTTTGAAAAATTAACATTTAACCTTAGTTCCAAAGTGGGCTAAAGAATCATGGTAGATTTCTGTGTGACTTCAATAGCTACTTCTCCAAATGCATCTTAGAAAACATGGAGTGAGAAGTTATAGTTACTATGTAGTTCATGGTGGTCTAAATAATCTTCCCCCCCACTTAAAATTTTATCACCCTGGGGCACCTGGGTGGCTTAGTGGGTTAAGCATCTGACTTCAGTTCAGGTCATGATCTTGCGGTTCATGGGTTCGAACCCTGCATCAGGCTCTGTGTTGACAGCTCAGAGCCTGGATCCTGCTTCGGATTCTGTGTCTCCCCCACTCTCTGCTCCTCCCCTGCTTGCACTCTGTCTCTCTCTCAAAAATAAACATAAAACAATTTTTAAATTTTGTCCCCCTGATTTTGCTTTTTATATTAAAGATAATGTATTCTAGATCTGCTGTGTACCCTGCACATGAGAGGTATTTTGAAAAATCTGGTCCACCGACAGTGCTTTGATTAGAACATGTAAAATTAATTTAACATTCTCTCTCCCCTTTCTTCCTCCTGAATAAAAATCTTTATAAAATAAACAAGTTGCTACAGAAATCTATTTTCAAAGTCAGGAACACTGATTCATGTGTCCAAAGGAAATGGGGACTCACATTTGGATTTCCTTATTCACATGGAATCATTGCTGACAATAGTGGTTGCTTTTCCTTTGCTCCTCTTTGAAAACACAACAACAGGGGTGTCGGGAAAGCCTCTCTGACAGTAGGCTCTCAGACATCCCAGTAATTCCAAATTGAGACAAGAACTCAGAAGCCAATGAGGAATGAAAATGAGTATATCACATTTTAAAATAACAAACTATTGAAGCCCTGCTGTGTCAATTTGAGACAAATCTGCTTAGACTTAGGTCAGATTAAGCCTCCTTTGAGAAAGAAAAAGAAAAAAACTTTCTGAGCTGCCAGCGTTTCTGTTTGTTTACTTTTTGCCTTGCTGGTTACATAACTTCATTGCCAGAGTCGTACCTTGTTGTTGCTAACACTCTCCGCTGTCTCAAGAGCTGTAGGTTTTCAGGGACCCATTCAGAGGAGTAGTGACTACAGCCTTTAGAGACTTGATGTGAGCCAGCACCCTCTCTGGACAGGGAGCATTTACAGTATTGAGAAAAATAGAGGCCCTCTTCAACTGCAGTTCTGTGGGGTGGATTTCAGAAACACACCCTATGGATCCTTGTAATTCAGTCCTCATCACAGCCTGGGAGCTCCTTGACTCAATCCCCAAAGCACGTCACTTTCTTTGGGGGCAATATCCACCACAGGCTATGTCTCTTGTTCCGTCATGTTTTGATTTTCTCTCCTGTCACCGTTAATAAGGATATTTTAACTGTGAAAACAGGGCATCGCTCATTGGGAGGGAAGCGGTCCTTTCTGACGGGTAAGGCTGGGTCCAGAGAGCACTGCTAAGGGGAGGGACTGAAGCTGCCTGGTGGGGGTTACCTCGAAGACTAGACTGTTAGGCTCTCCTTATGCTCCTGGCACACACTGGGCTCTGGACAGATATTTGCAACATGGCTGAATGAACAAAATTATGAATGAGATAGATGGTTCCTGATGAGGGCAAAATTGTACTCCTGGAGGAAGGCCAGAGTGTTGTGAATTGAGTGATTGAGGACATGTACTCAGGCAACAATAAGGAAGATCACTGAATTGCAATTCAGCAGACCAAACTTCAAATTCTCTTTTATTAACCAGTCGCCAGACCTTGACTTTGCAAATGAATCTGTCTCATTCATAAATTTCTTTTCTGTAAATTGAGAGAGCTGGACTCCAACAGTCCCTTGAAGTATCCTTCAACCTGAAGTTCAATTCCAGGGCTTTGTGATGCTTCACCACGTTGCAGTTCACCGAAGAATTACAGCTATAAAAGGCTCCTGGAACATAACTGCTCCAGAGATTAGCCCTTCTTTTTCTCCCCTTATCTATTATCTTAGCTGGCTTCCTGTGTTCCTGACTGTTTAGAATCTTATCTGCATCTGGGTGGAGATAGGTTTAATGACCTTAAATGACCTTATGAGTAACAAGCAAAGTAAAGGTGCCAGGATTTCACTGGAATGAAACCAAACACTATTCTGGACGCTGGCCGTCAAGTGATGCTGGCTGCCTACAGGAGTACGAAGCTTCTTTCTCTCCTCACTTTCTGCCGCCTCCGTCTCTCTCTCTCTCCCCCCTTACCAGTCATGCCATAAGAATGGGGGCAAAGGAATGGCATTTGCTAGAGAAAAGGAGTTTTCTGTGGGTGTTTATTCACTATATGGGGAACAGCGGGGAGCCATCGGACGTCATAAAGATTTCTTGCTCGCTGAAATGTGTGTCTTAGTCTATGATTAAATAACAGTAAGTAAATCTAGAGGCACCTGGGTGGCTCAGTCAGTTAAGCCTCTAACTTCAGCTCAGGTCATGATCTCACGGTTTGTGAGTTCGAGCCCCAAGTTGGGCACTGTGCTGACAGCAGAAAGCCTGCTTGGGATTCTCTCTCTCTCTCTCTCTCT